AAAGTCCCCGATGAAAATCTTGTATAAATCTAGCAAAATTCTTACTTACTTGTTTTTAATATAATTCCAAATTCCATCTTTTTCTTCAACTTTTAATACATCTTCATTCTCTTTACCGGGATTTCTAGTAAACCTTGGATAAATAACTAACCCTTCAAAATTATTTAACACAATCTCATTTCCGATTTCTTCAACACTACGACTATACCATCCTTCACTTCCACTACTTTGTATATCAAATATTTCTGTAGATTTCCCTTCTCTCAAGCCAAATATCCATACACCAGGATTTGCTTTTAACTGTAGATATCCATAATTTGCCATTACAATAGTATCTACCATTGCAGGAGAATTCTTGGTACCAAGTACTATTTGTAACCCACTTGGTGGTGCATTTAATGTAATATCGCGAGCGTGACCTTCAATAAGAATATTCTTCAATTCAAATACCGATTCGACTCCTTTAATCCTTGAACGAGAATCTAGATTCGCCAAACGGATATTATCCAAATCATAAATAGAAACTTTGGGTGTTACTAGCCATGCTTGAATTACATCGATTCCGAGCGTTAACAAAGGATCCTCGGGTAAATTTGAAAAATATGCGGACGGAGGAACCAGATTACTAAAAGGGGAAAATAATGTTAATCAAAGAAAAGAAAAAGGAATCCTGAAAGAAAAATGAAATTATTACCCAGTCGTAGAATTAAATTTCAATCTCGGTTCTAATACATAACGGTAAAATCTCTTTATCGGAATTTCATTTAGGTTCAACTTAGGATTGAAATATAACTCGATAGCAACTCCGTCAATTTGTGATAATATCTAATAATTTATAACTTCTAATTATTGATAAATAAATAATAAAATGGTTGTCATTAATTCATATTACTCACCTTTAAGATTGTGGACCACTTTTGCGCTGTTTCACTTATTGGATCAATTAAAACACTAATCTTGTATAATGCTGCCTCCATATCGCCAATGACAACTTTGCTATAATATAACAAATATAATAAGTTGCATGTACATAATATAATTTGATAAGGGTTTGATATGAGTATTTCAAACCTGTGTTCAGACTTTAATTCCTTAAACGAAAGGTCTCGTTTTAATTCTTGTTCCTCGAAAAGTCCAACGGGAACATCCGATGTCGTAGCTTCAGACATGATAGAAGACACTTTCGCTATAAAATCCGAATAATTTGAACTAAAATAAAGTCGAGAAATTTAATTATAAATTCTCTCAAATTCCAAAATGATTCAGCCAAAAATTACCCATTCAAATGCGTTGTTAAATTGGACGCTTTTACGGCATCCACTACAGGATCGATACGTTCTGCGTTTTCCACATCAAGCAATAATTTTAAATCATCCGAGACGAACAAATTTTCTTTAGTAAAAGGACCCACAAACTATCAATAGTTTTTTTTTTTAAAAAAAATATATATATATATATATATAAGATTCGAATATAATTTATATAATTTAAAAAAGACATGTAATCTATTTACGTACACGGCCATTAACTATAATAGCGGTATCAGTTTCACCCAATTTCAACGTTTTTCGTGTAAACGAGTTCCATCCTCTCCAATAAGTTTGTGCTCGTACTTTATCAACTAATTGCCATCCAAAGGATCTAGCGGAATTGATCTTTTCAGAATCTGAAATTGGTATTTGTTTTGACTCTTCTAGTTGTTCATTAAATGGCAATTTGACTTTATCTTCTATGCTAAGATATTCTTCTATAGCCTCTTTTAAGAATTTTGATAAGTCTGATGGTGTATCTTCGGCATTTACTTTGGAGTCATGCAATATATGATAAAAAAGAGATGATAAACTTAAATCTTCACGAGCACTAGTTTGAGTTGAAGGATTATGAATGAATGCTATGCGCACATTTGGTGATTCATTCTAAATAAATACTATTAAATTAAAACATTTGTTGAATAAAGTGTGAAAAAAAAATCATTTAATATATTTTACCAAAAATTTCAAAGCTTCCAATCCTTGCTTAGCTCCATATTCACTATCAAGGTCAGTTATAAGTATTAATGAAATAGGTACTTCATTATCACCTCGTTCCTCTAGGAAAAAAAATTTTTTTTTTTTTTTATTTATTGTATGATTTATAAATAATGTAAAAGAATCTCACATACATACCAGGATGAACATAAACTAAACTATTTAACTTTTCACTGTTTCCATTTTTTTCATTTGCTAAATTAATAACCTTCAGGGGCTGTAAATCTGTTACGAACACATAAGGATTTCTTCTGGATGGAACATTCGGTAAAGTCATAAAATACTCGAATATATTTGTGTGATCCGCAATTTCGCCACCATACAGCTATTATAAAAAAATTACATCATGATACATCGTACATCATTATCACTTGAGTTGCTTAATCGCAAGTACACTTACTTTTTGCTGAAGGAATGAGGTGTGTTCATTAATAGTTTGAACCATATTCCTCTGATAATTCTATAAACAAAGTGAAATTTATTATTTTAACGATCATGAAATCTTTCTCTTTTACCTTGCAAAATTCTCTTTTTTAATTGACCGCTCATTGCGAAGTTTTATTCCGCTTTCGGCGAGTCAGGATCCTCTAAAATATGTTACTTACATCATCCATATCAAAATATTTTCCATTAATAAACATAACACCTCTTCCATTAGTGTCTATTCTGAACCTACTAATAAATTCGGTCGCACCAAGAATTTGCTCTTCAAGTGAGGATTCAGCATCAGGTTTAATGATGTCATCGAAGGATTTAATAGAAGTTTTATCTTTTGGCTTTTCACCACCTATAACAATGTTAAATTGTTTTTTTGCACTTTCAAATATAGAAGGTGAACTCGTCAATTCTTCAGAAACCTATACCGCACACAAAAATATGATTAGAGAGAGTAGATTGATATTTAAATGATTTCATTATGATAAATTTATTTTTTAAAAAACAAACCTCAGAGAAAAATTTCATGGTCAAAGACTTTGTATACTGACCAATAAGATAATAAAAAATCTTTGCCATCATTACGGCTTTAAAATATTTAAAAAAAAAAAATTGTGAGGATTTATTTTTCCCCCTTAATAAAAATTCAACACGAAATGTGCATTCTTAATTATCAATCACATACATTCATTGTTTTCTTTATTCACAAGTGGAATGATACCAAACCGTATTGGAATATCCCTTTCAACGAACGATTTTATTTGTTCAGTGAAGACCTTGAGATTCTTTATGGACGATAGATCAATAACAAATAATACATTGAATAAGTTTTTACGTATATATCTCATCTGTCCGGGATAGACCGGTCGAAATATCTAAAAATAAGTGTTGATGTTGAAGTAAGTAAAGATTGAATAATCAAAAAAATAAAGGGAGAATGAAAGTTTGTTAACATACATCATAAATCCTAGATGGCCAATGAGAATATCTTTTATCTTTTTCTAAATCGTTTAACCAAACTATAATATTTTTCTTTTCCGATTTATCCCGAACATCAAAAATTCCTTGAGTTAGCTCTTGAGAAGATCTTGATTCCGAGATTACAGGCGATGCAAGCAATTCAACAGCTTGTTGTGAGTTCATGCCAAGACTTATTAGCGATAAAATATTTTGTCTCTCGCGTCGAAGCAATTTTAATAGACTTTTGAATATTATGTAAAGGTTAGATATAAAAGATTAATAAATTTTAAATGCTAAATTATAATTCCTACCCGAATGGATCAACTGAATCGGGAACAAGTTTCAATCCGTTGAGCCAAAAAGTATTGGTATTTAAACTCAGAGAATTTTTATTTATTGTGATCTCATCTTTAAGTGATGAATTAAGACTAAGTTGAGCGATATGATAAGAATACTTTGGTAAATCTTGTGATAAATGCGCAAGAGCTGACAATGGGTCTGATGAAGAAATAATGAATTGAGCAGCCTTCAAACCAAGTTCTATAAATAGGAACAAGTAAATTACGTGAGCACGATTATGATGATGATGGATTATTTTTTTTTTAAAAAAAAAAATTGAATGAATGGAATTTCACTAAATACCCCTGATTTCGTTAGTTATAAGTGGCTTAATTTCGGATATATCCTCATTAAACAAATGTTCACTCAACATTTCAAGGCGTGAATCATTATTAGATTCGGGGTTTGATTCGGTTTCACTTTCTCCTTCGTCATGATCATCTATTACAATATTCCAAGTTGTTTGTTAATTTGTATTTTAAAATTACTTTGCATATCTTGTCGACCATCTTACCAGTTCCAACTTTACGGTCATCAATTGAAATGTAATCGGTATTTTTTAATGCCAACTCCACACCGTATCCAGTAAGATATAAATTATCTCGCTTTCCTTTGGGAGGTTTATATCGTAAAATATATTTTGCTTCATCATTACTGACCAACTCGGATACAAATTGATGAAAAGACGCAAAATTAGGCGAAAACACATCAGCGTATAAGATGATTGATGGTGATATGGTTTCTTCATTAGAGAGTAAAACATGATCAAACGGCAAAAGTTTTGGATGCTGATCGGAGCTACAAAAAAAGTTGGACAAACATCAATTAAAAAGTACGACATGTCTTGATTATCACGAAAAAAATTTGTTACCTAATATTATGAGGTATATCGTATTTTCCGGACTTCAACTTCTTGAAATCTTCAATGTTACAAGCTTGATGACCATACCAATCAACCCAAACGTCACATTCGGGATCAAAATTATTATTGAATTCCTGCCTGCTTGGCAATACATTTGCGTCGTAATAATGGTAATACGCTTGAATGGCAGGAGCTGTTGTGTGAAGTGAAAGAGCGAATTCAAGAAGTGATATGGACGTTGACGTTGATAAATATTTTTTTGATTCGATAACGCCGAATGCTGTTTTGTATACTTCTTGATAAGTCAATTTGGGAGAAAATAATCCTTGACTAATAAAATCATTTATAAGCGGATAATACGCCGTAGAGTTCTCTGCCGAAACTGACTCTCTTTGAAATTAAAAATATAAAAAATGATAAGTTAAAAAAAAAAAAAAATTCGTTTAAATGATTGCAAGACTGATACGGGATTTAAATTCATACATAATTTCAAGTAATAAATGAGGAGCGTCCCAAGAAGTTTTTAACCATGTTTGAACAGGAGGCGTTTCTGCTTTTGAAACTGTAAATGCTATACTAAATAAATATAATAACACCAGTAAGAAGGTGTTATTGCTTATGATTTTTTTAAATATCATAATACCATTTAAAAAAATATTACTGTATTCAAATTAAGCGGAAAACGATTTCAAAAAAAAAAAATATGTATCAGCAAACCAGTTTGTTACACTAATCGGAAAAATTGATTTTTTTCTCGATGAAAAAAAAAATTGCTTACCGATTCTATAAAAACTATATGATTTTATTCGAATTAGATCGTTGAAGATAAATAATTTAACAAGAGGCTCGAAAAAATAACAACTTTAGAAAGTTTTATAAAATCCAATCAATGATAATACAATAAACGTTATTCCAAATGATTTTAACCAAAGAATGCCTTAATTGGCTTACAATAAAATAATATCGCATCGTTATTTCAATTTAATGATCATAATTCACATAAAAAAGTTATTATATTTATATATCTATGAAACAAAAATTCCTAATATTTACAGAAAATTTATATTATAAAAATTAAATACACTTTAAAAAAAAAAATAAAAAGTACTTCTAAGAGGAGAAAAACTCAAAATTAATTAATTTATTGGATTATTTTTTTTTTACGTTCTTTATTGTTGATGGCCTCCAATGACATCTTAACTCGAATGCGTTCTAGACTTCGTTCTTGACTTCGAAGTTTGCTATTCCAATAGTTTTTAACTTGCAATTCTGTTCTTCGAGATGTCTTGTCTATTGATATTTCTTCAGCTATTTTTGACCATTTTTTATAATAAGACTGATCATTGCTGAGGAGAGATTCAATTTTTGCTTTTTCTTCATCGGTTAACTCTTTACTTTTATTGACTGCAAGAGAAAGAGAATAAAGACGAAAGATTATGTGTACTGATCTTAGGTGGATGCAAACGTGAAATGCTCAAGTGAAATAAATATATACGAACTGGTTGGGTCCAAATGATTAACATATCTAGAAAATAACGAAGTAAATAAATACACCTTTTTTTTTTTTGATTGATAAATAAATAAAACTCACCGCTCGCGAACACTTTTATGATTACGTTTTAATATCCCTCCAATTATTTTCCATCTATTTGTTTTATCTGCGAACTCTTGATATAATTCTATAAGTTGATGATCTTCCTATAAATTTTGATGTAAATAATGTTGTTGATAAAAATCAACGCAGAAATTGAACTTTGCATACAATATATTACCTCTGCCGAATATAAACCTCCTCTCTGTGGTTCGGTCTTTGGCATTCTAATAATTCGGTAAAAATGGTAATAAAATGGTTGTTTGTATTTAATTAAATGAATGGATTTTTTTTTTTTTTTTTTTTTTTGCAATAATGGTAAATTAGATATTAATAAAAGAAAGTGAATATAATTGATTTTTTAATCCATCATTAAAAAAAAAAAAATAATTTCGTTATACAAATGCATTACGATCTTTATATAGATGATACACCTCTTTTTGAATGTTATCTTAAAAGGATAGGCTCAAAGTACAAGTCCTTTCATGTTATGTAGTCCTACATAATGAAATTGCATTTAACCATTAACACATTTAAAATACATTGAATTTACCATAAAAATTATGATATCATTTGACTTTACATGTGCATGATGTGAAATGAAAAATTTTTTTTATCTGTGATCAAAACGTGTGTATGTAATATATATATTTTATTTTTTCCTTTTAAAAATACTATAAATTGATATGCGGATGTTATTAATAAATAAAATTCCGGAATCAACTTTTTTTTTTCCTAAATCTCGCGTATATGTGTCAACCTGACCAATTTTTTTTCTCAGAAAAAAAAAGTTTTAATGGTTTATATTTTTTAAATATTACATCATTTATTCCTAAATAATTGCCTTTGAGGCAGGTCAAATATTTGGTTGTACACCTTTACGAAATACGAGAAAAGAACATTATAATGTTATTCTCAAAACGTTCCCTTTGTCCAAAAATTTGAATTTTTAAAAAAAAAACCCGATTCAGAAAAGATATTTATTTGTGTGCATACACAAACAATCACCTTAAAAGAAGAATATAATTTTACGCTATCAAACAACCGAATATATATATATGGTTCAGATGATTTACATCTTTTTGTTTGATAACAAAGAATAAATTATTGTTTTATACTCGAAGAGATGGCAAAGAAATCCGAAACATTGCGTTGATGATCGATTGTAAAACGGTTCAATCAGTTAACGAAGCCTTGGGATAACTCACAATCGAATTAAACGACAAATTATTAACCATATTAGAAAGAGACGCGTAATTTTCATTTCTTTGGTGATAAAACTTTTCTTATTGATAAATATAAGGTAGTACATATCTTCGTCTCGATACCAATAACACGAACTTTTGATTAGATGAGGAAATTCGAAATCTTTTATCATTTAAATTCCTCGATGTATAAAGATCCCTTATCCCTTATCTTCTATGAAAATTATTTAATTGTTGTAACTATTAATGAGAAAGATGATTCGAAACTTCAACTTTTTGATTAAACAGCATGATACATCCTTAATTAAATAATAAATCTACTCTTATCTTTTGCCAAGAATGGTTCTATTCAAAGGTATAAGAGATATTATGAGATAGCTTGATCGATAATAGTTTCTGATATAAGAATAGTTCTAATTGATTTCAAAAGATTTTAACTGATGTGTTTTATTTATACATTTTTATTGTCAACAAAAAAAAAAAAAAACAAAAAAGCAATATAGGCGTACTTTAAATAACACGGAATTTCTTTGTCAGAAACTATAATCGTATTTGACATGTGGCGTTTGCAGGAATCAACGCCATTAACGAAAAAAAAAAATTAGATAAAAACGCCCGACATTTCGGGAGTAGGGTATGGGTAAGTAATATCGGAATTCGCCTTTATCCTTCCGATTTGATTATCGTTAAAAAAAAAAAAAAAAAGCGAGATTTCAATACTGGGTGGCACTTCTCGTTGTCCTTGTGATTTTGATTATCATCGAAAATTGGACAAATTAAAAAAAAAAAAAAAAGTCTACATGTGATCTTGAGCATACAAAAAAGAAATAAAATCGGTGTCTTCTCCGAAAAGTTAATTTCCTAAATTAAGCAGAACCATAGAAAGATCTAATTCTATTTATAAATATAAATACTTTCAATCGAACCTAATTCTAAATATAAAAAACCAAAGTCATTATAAAAAAAAATCTAATTAATACTTTTTTGATAAAGATTATTTATCGAATAGAAAAGAAAACGTTTATATTTATGATTTATAAAATAAAGTTAAAGTGTGACAAAATCTTAATTTGAAAACGCGTTTAAAGAAATAATTTGCAAATGCTTATGTAATTGCATAAGAGTTAAAATTTAACTGTACGTGACCACAACATTCAAAGGTCAACCAAAGTTCGAAGAAGAGAAAGGTTCGGAACTTTAAAAAATGATTCTTTAGACAAAAAGTATATATAAAAAAAAGTAAATGATTAATCGGGGTTTCCCTCAATTTTTTTGTTACAATTTCCGATCAACAAAGGTCTAAAATGAACAATGCTAACCAAATTCTGCGTAACAAAATTTTCAGCCTTATCATTAAAAAGAGGAATTACTTTTCTTACAAAAGTAAATAATATATAATTTGATGTTGAAATTATTGAATAGGGGGATTGTGACTGTTTATGATTATGTTATTAAGGCAAAACAAATGTATTATAACCAATGTGTAACGATCTTTCATAAAAATTACATTTAGAGTTTCTTAACAATATGACTAAATTTAGCTAAGATATTCGATTAAAAATTTATTCGGTGTTGTTAATCGAAAGTGTGATTATTTTATCATGAATTTCTTGAATCAATGCATCATAATTATCTAAAGGATTTTTCTTTTCACAAAGTTCACCTAGTAATCCTTCTTGATGGATTTTCAATTTTGATGTTACAACTTTTTGAACATCGATTGGTCCCGGGAATGATTTTTCATCTTTATCTGGTAAAATGCGAGGTTAAAGCTTTATTATAATCTTTGAAATTATAAAAATTCAAAATATAAATTACCTTGTAACTCATCGTACGGTCTTACCAAATTATTATAGTCTTCATTTTTTTCGAAAATGAAGAAATCGTCTAGAGTTAATTTCCGAATTTTTTTTTTTTTTTTTTGTTCAACAATAATAAATAAATAATACCCTTTTTTTAAAAAAATGAAAAGTTATAAAATAATGATGTACCATGTGTTTGATTACTATCTCTATGTCGCTTTATATTCATATCGCGTGACGAGAGTTTGTATACATATTTAAGAATTACATAAAGAATAGTTGGAAAGTAAATTGAAAAAAACGCGACGAGAAAATGTAATGATTCGGTAGATAATATTACAAAAGTTGGTAGAATTACAAATAAAATAACCGTTAAGACAAAGAGTTCGATATTCATGTTGTTACTTTATTTTAAATGGTTTGATGTTATTATGAAGATATTTGATTTTTGAGAAAGAAATTCAAATTATGTAAACACGGATCAAATATCCTAGATAAGTAAATGCTAAATGCTAAATGAATTTTTTCATGTTTGTGTAACACATGATTTGATTATCGCAAGTTTACGCGAAATTAGAACCCCGAAATAAATTCGGTTTTCGGGGACTAAAATTGTTGATATTGGTATAACCAAGTATCTAATTTTGATAAAATTATTCGAGCTATATTCGTTGAATAATAAATTGTTCTGATTTTGTGACTTTTTCAAAAGATCCAATTCTAAAGTTCTGCATAAATTCGAAGAATTTTTTTTAAATCTACTATAATGAAATACACAAACTCAGTCTTTTACCTATTCAGGATCCTAGGCATATGAACAATTATCAGTAAAGAAAGAAGAAATTTCTTGTATGTATTTTTTAAATTCAGCAGTAAGGGGACCGATGATCTCCTGCGGCGAAATCTTCTTTCGGCAGCCAAATTAATTCGGCTATAATAAATCATTTCTTATAAAAAGTTATAAAATTCTTTAAATATACAAAATACATGATTTTTAAATCCTTTCAGGAAAACTCCTAAGGGGTTGAGAGTAGTAGTACAAATATAAGTTCAAGTACAGTGTCAATTTTCAACCCTGATTTAAAGCTTGTTTCAACCACCACGAAAAATCCAAATATAGTCATGTCCATTATATGATTGGTTGAAACATGTAACCTGTGCTAAATTTGCTTGTCAGTTTTTAATCTTTAATGCATATTATATGGGGTATGCTGCAACAAAACCAGACAAAGTGATAAAATTATATATATGAAAGAAAATAAACGTAATAATTTCACTGAATATGAAAAAGCAATAAATTTCTTAAAGAATGGCTGTAATTGTGATTGTTCAAATAAAATTCCAAAAGAAGAATTTGCTGAATTGCGAGAAAATTTTCAAGCTCTAACAAAACCTGAACAAGATATTTTCTTAATGGCCCAACTTAAATCTATGGATGGAGGAGTAATCAATACTAGTCAGCGTCTAAAAAAGAAATTACGGGTCAATAAGAGGACTTTCTATTGCTGAAATCGTAATACGCCTATTTGTCAAAAATCATACCTCAATATGCTTAGCATTGGCCGCAATTACTTTGAAATATTAGAGAACATTTAGTAAAAAATGGCCTTCTTTCCTGAATACATGGTAATGTAAAAAGGATGCCCAAATAAAAGACTAAGATGGTTATTAGCAAAGATGTGGCTACCATTGTGAAGAATTTTCTTTTAAATTATGCTAAAGTTTACGGCTTACCTAGTCCAGTAAGAAATGTTAATCGTATGACTCAATCCATTATTTTTTTACCAGCAGAAATGAGTTACAAATCTGTTTATCGTGACTTTTTAGCCGGTCTAGAAGATGACAGTAATTTGCGTGTCTTCAAGTATGATGCTTTTCGTAAATTATGACATCAGCTTACTCCATACATTCAAATTATGAGTCCCTGAACAGATCTATGTGATACTTGTCAGCATTTGCGAAATGACTTGCAATTCAAAGCTCATAAAGATAAAGAGACCCAAGATTTATTAAAGAAATATAAAGAACATCTAGCCAAGGCC